GAGGGGGAGTGTGTGAGGGGGAGTGTGTGGGGGGGGGGAGTGTGTGAGGGGAGTGTGTGGGGGAGTGTGTGGGGGGGGAGTGTTGGGGGGGAGTGTGAGTGGGGGGAGTGTGTGTGAGGGGGGAGTGGGAGCAGCTGGAAATCTGATGTTTCCAATCTGAAAGGGGGATTTAAAATCAGCCATTAATACACAGAGAGAGAGAGGGGAGAGAGAGAGAGAGAGAGAGGGACAACTGAAAGGCTATTAAACAAGAAGGGGGTTATTTTAATGTATTTCCGCGCCCCCCCCCCCCGTCCCCCTCCCCCCCCCTCCCTCCCTCCCCCCCCCCCCCCCCCCCCCCTCCCCCCCCCTCCCCTGTCCCCCACTCCCCCCTCCCTCCCTCTCCCCCCCCCACCCGCCGGCCGCATCCATTTGTAACGCGCTCTGAGCAGCATCGCCACCATTGCCCGGGGCTGCCTTTGCTTGTGCTCCCGCGCTCCCCGCCTTCTCCATCCTCCTCCTCGGGAGGGAAGCTCTCACTTACCCGCGGCTCTCACATCTCCGCGCTGTGTGTGTGTGTGTGTGTGTCCGTCCGGTCTGTCGCTCCTCACCGCCCGTCCCCGCGCGCGCGCACACACACACACACACCTGCCTCACTGCTGCTGCTGCTGTTGTTGTTGTTGTCGCTGCCCTTCCTCCCGCTCAGCTCAGCCCCGCCCCCTCCCTCCCCCCCCCGCACCACCACCACCACCACCACCGCGCGCGAGAGCAAACCGTTAATAACCGTCACGCTCGCGACTCTACCGTAACGCCCCGACTATGGCGGACTGTACCGTAACGCCCCAAGTAGAGGGGCATCGACCGTAAACTTCCCACTCACCGACCCACCGACCCCCAAACCCCACCCCCACGTCAGACGGACAGAAGCCGTTCCCGTCGTATCCACACACCACACCCCCCCCCCCCGAGTGCTCCGTGGACCCGGACCCCCCCACCCCCTCCCACCCGAGTGCTCCGTGGACCCGGACCCCCCCCACCCCTCCCCCCCCCCCGAGACCACCGCAGAGGGTTGGGTTGAGTCCGATTCCCGTCACTCCCTCACTCACCGAACACTGCAGCCCGGAGCCATCTTAGCTCTCAGGTACCGCCGCCGCCACCACCACCACCACCACAACAACAACATGTAAATATACATATAATATAATATATATATATATATTGTGAAAATGTTCCGAAGTTTTGAGGCGTAATAATAATAATACTAATCCTTGCGTTTGGTACAGCGCCTCATCATCACCTCTTCGAGAGCGTCTGAAAGCGCTTCACCGGGATACACCGTGAACCCTGCAGCGCAGGGGGGGGGGTGGGGTGGGGGCGTTATATAGCATTTATATATATATATATATATATATATAGCTATAGCACATGCAAGGATTATTATTATTGTAAAGTGAATTGACTATACTTTGTGGGCGAAACGTGGCAAGTCGATTGCACACGGCAGCGTTCCACAAACAGTCATGGATTAATAATAATAATAATAAATAATAATCCGTGCATTTGAAATAGCGCTTTTCACGTCTTCCAGACGTCCCAAAGCGCTTCACAGAATATACTGTAAAGTGAATTGACTGTATATTTGTTAAGTGACCGAATTATTTTTATTTGTTTCAAAAAACATTTTGAAGGGGTTATTACCCCCGGAAAAGCAATCGGCCGATGGACCAACAACCGGGTTCCTACTCGCTGCTAGCTAAACAACAACAACAACAACTTACATTTATATAGCGTCCTTCACGCAGGGTAGTGTCCCTGAGCACTTAAAACAGAATCGTGTGGAGTAAGGAAACTTGCCCAACATTTCACCCTGTCCGGGAATCGGACCCAGGTCCTCTCGCTTGCGAGGCAAGTGGTCTAACTTCTTCGCTTATAGGGCTCCATAGTGGCTAAAGGCACGATAATATAATACATAGCACGATAATACCTCCTCCAAGCAAAGTAAATGTATTATATAAAAAAAACTGTGTTGGAAAAATACCACCTTTCGAATAATAACACAAATTAAGTAAGTTAAATAATACAAAGAGCTCTGTTACCAAAATCCACACTACTAAAATGCAATAAATAAAGTGACAGCAGTCCATGCAGCACCTTTCAACTTTAAAAGAAATACCTCTCTGTGTTTTAGTACATCACAATAATAACATTCCTAACTCTATATAACATCGAGAAAAACACCAGAGAACCTGAAAAACAATTTCTAGTGCAAATTCAGTGTTTATTACCATAGAGTAAATTCACCTTGTAAAAACCAAGCCCACCGTTGAAAAAAAATTACACCTATATTTTTAATTATAAGGCATTTGGTGCCATCTATGGCCATCAGGGAAACTACAAGTGGAGAAAATATTCCTGCACAGGATTCTTCTCACAAGTCACAGTTGGACGGCATCAGCCGTCAGAATGTGTAAATTCTATGCAGAATATGAACTGGTTTCAGAGTCCGTGCAAATCGTGGATGAAAATCGAAAAGGACTCACATTTCCGAATGGTAAATTTAAATGTAGGAATTGATACATTTTTGCAAGAGGTAAACAGGAGCAGGAGGCCATTCAGCCCATCGAGTCTGTTCCATGGTTGGACTCTGTTCTCGTGAGGAGTGTCTGAGGCAGCTGTGGCTTTGTACAAGATCACAGAATATTGTGAGGCAGAAAGGCAAACCCACCTACGTTGCACTCACTGATTTCAGTTAGGTTTTCAACCCAGTGTCTCATGAAGTACTCAAGATGATGTGCTTGGCAATAATATGTCGGAATTGAGTCAAACCTCTGTGACAATCTTGGTAGTCCACTTCTTTAGTTAGGCAGGTCCACAAGTCTCCAAGGTACCGTTGATGACAGACCAGACAGCCTGGTTCATCAGTAAGAATGGGAAGGTAAACTTCCGAGTCTGGGGACAGAGATTTTTCGACTCACCTCAACTCTGTATAGTCATATTTACCTTCTGTTAATCCTCAAATCTTTTAAATCCATGAGACTGGTGTTTAATGGGTTTATGTGGTTCCTGGAAAGAGTATATTTCAAATGTAAGGATTATTATTATTATTATTTGGTGGACAGTCTGTTCAGTCCTTCCATGGTTTACGTTCTTTAGGGAACCATCATTATTTTAATCTCTTTCAGATGAGTGCTCACAAAAGCATTCTGTAAAATAAATAATGCATATTTTAATACAAAATGATATGTGGAAAATATCCTTAACATATAACAGAAATGTAATCAATTATATTTTATAAAGTGCTTCAAAACATTTATTTAATGCGAACAGCATGGGGGCAAATTCTCCAGCACCTCGGGACGTCCTACCGATTGAAAGGCGTTGATCTGTATTTGTAAATAAAGGCAAGTTATTTTTATGTAGTCTTGGGAATTGATCTAAACAAATCCTCTGTGAAAGAAAAACAATCGTTAATGTTTTACGACTAACTGAAATAAAACCAACAAGACCATAGACGAAGCAGTCAATGACACTTTTATTAGTTATTAAAGTAGAAACATCACATCATCAAACTGTGTAAAATATTTCAAAGTTATTGCATTTGTAGCATTTGAAGTGCAACAACAGATTTGGTTTGAGTGATGTCAGGATTTTGGATTTATAGATAAAGAAAATGTTCGGGGTCCACAAATCAATTGTGTTTATATAAGTAAACCCAAGTTATAATAGGTCAACTTGATGTAACTTCCAGCAAAGGTGGGGGGGGCACTGGAGGAGTTTTGTCTGATTGTAATTCAGAGGAGAGGCCTGAAATTTCTCATAATCTTAACCTTACAAATTGTTAAAACTAAGTTAGCTTTTTCCTGGTTCGATTCCTATCTCACCGTCTCCACTTTGTTGCCTCTAATGGTTTCTCCTCCAGCCCCCACACTGTCACGTCTGGCGTCCCCCAGGGCTCTGTCCTTGGCCCTCTCCTCTTTAATATCTATATGCCCCCCCTTTGGTGACATCATCCGCAGACATGGGGTCAACTTCCATACGTATGCGGATGACAACCATATGTGGTTGTTGTTGCTGCACGGTCCTGTATTGTCTGATCACTGTTGGCCATAGGCCGACGTGATTAAACTGATCATCAGATGGGTGAGAAAGTGCTGAAATGCACTGATCAACCTGAAGTAAAGAACCATGATATAAAGACATCTGAGCTACACCTTGACAGTTCAGGTTGGCGTCAGAGTGAGTACATCATTCACTCCTCCAGGAGGGCAGATCTCCCACTTGAAGTACTGAGATTCAAACCACTCAAGCATCCAAGATTCAAGTAACAACAGAAAAAGAAGAAAGAACAGATATCAACGATACAAGCATATAATTTGCAAGAGATTCAATGTCCGCTATTATCAATGTTCCCGAAACAAGAGAACAAAAGCACTAAGTCACTGCACTTTACAGTATATATCCTGTGAAGCACTTTCCTTTCTGTTGTGAAATGTGCCATTTAATGTAAAGATGATGATGATTATTATTGTAACGGGATTCTACTGTCTGAGTTAAAGTCTGCTGTTGCTCACTGTCAAGACTGAATCATGAATATTAGCTACTTGGGTGAAATACAAACAGCTGAAAAGCCATATCCAATGGAAAGAAAAGAATAAAATGTCATATTTATATTACGTTCAAAAGCCTCAAAACATTTAATTTCAAGTAATAACTGTTAAATGTAGTTCTTTTATGCCAAAGGTAGTGCCTATTCGCACCGACAAGGTCCCCACATTGGTGAATGACCAATTAATCTGGAGGATTGTTGCCCAGGACAATAAGAGAAATTGCCTTCACTTTTCAAGCAGTAGCAGCGGATCTTAACATCCACGTTTCTACAACAACAAGATTGCATTTAAAGAGCGCCTTTCAGGACGTCTCAAGGCGCTGGACAGTTGGGTCGGGACCCGAGCAGGGGGGAAATGGTGAGAGGAGGGAAGGGAGGGAGCGAGGAGGGGGTAGAGTCGAGAGGGGAGGTGAAGGCACGGTTGAAGAGAAAGACCGGCCTTGAAGGAGGAAAGGGAGGAGGCGGCGAAGGCACTGGGGGATAGAGTTCCAGAGCCTCGGGGCTGAGAGGCTGAAAGCCCGGCCACCGATGGTAGGTCGGTTGGGGGGGGGATGTGGAGCAGACCGGAGCCAGAGGAATGGAAGGTATGGGCAGGTAAGTAGGGGGATAGATAGTAGGTCGGAGAGGTAGGAGGGAGCAAGGCCATGAATGGCCTTGTAGATGAGGATGAGGATCTTGAATCCTCTGGGGGATGGGGGATACAGTTTAATTGAAAGAAGGCACCTTCAACAAAGGGTCGCTTACCCCAGTACTTCACAGTCCATTAGCCTAGACCAAGGGTGGTCCAACTGGTGGCCCGCGGGCCGCATCCGGCCCAGGAGATGATTCCATCCGGCCTGGGGACCACTTCCAAATTCATTGTCTGACGAGCAAATACAGGGGAGTTCCTGTATTACACTAAGACATGTAATGGTCTTTTACCTGTCAAGGAAATGTAGACAGTATTAAAGAATAATTTAATTATGCACAATTTTCATACAATCCACTCTAATTCTGTTGTATTCTTAAAATGATTTTAAATTATTATATATTCAGTATTTATTTATTTTGCCGCTTTGTTCATTTTGCAATTATGGATTAATTAGTTTTGGTTTTGTTGAGCGTTCTGTTTGGATATCTTGTTTTTGATTTTAATACATAAAAATGAACTTGATGCATATATTTTTCCATTTGAAATTATCATTATTTTGTTTGCTGTTAGAACTTTTAATTATGTGCATTTTAATTCACTTGATTATTTCTTTCACTTTCACTGTTTACTCTATATTTAATAATTATTCTTGCATATATATGTATACATTTACCTTTATAATTTGTTTGCATTTTCCATTGCTTATTTAAGGATTGCATTGTAACTAAAATATAGTGAAATAAAGTAATACGCTTACACAATTTTTAACATAGGATTTCTATTCGATTCTTACAGGTTATGTTTCTGGAAAGAAACACAAAAATATTGCTTATGCGGTCCACGGATATTTCTCAAATGAGGCATCCGGCCCTCAGCAAACCAAAAGGTTGGACCTTTGTGCCCAGCCTATGAACTGAAAGTTCCTGACTTCATGGCTGTTTGTGGGACATTGCTGTGTGCAAATCGTCTCCGGCATTTGCTTACAAATACACAGTCACTACATTTCACATTAAAATCCTGTGAAGAGCTTTGAGACGTCTGGATGACATGGTAAGAAGCACTATCAAATTGCAAGGATTATTATAAAACGGTCTGAACCAATCCCTTCCCCTCTAATTCTCCATCCATGAGAACTAAAACTACTCAATAAAAACAATAGAAACCAGACCGAAGGAAAGGAAAGCATATGGTACATTTGGTGTATATTTATGTTGCCCCTTTGTTAGTTTCAAATTAGAGAGACTATTTAACAATAAAAAAATAATAATTTGGTCACTTCAATCCACGACTGTTTGTGGGACACTGTCGTGCGCAATCGGCTGCCCCGTTTCCCCCCACAAAACACCCAGTCACTACACTTCACAGTGTGTTCTGTGAAGCGCTTTGTGGCGTCTCAGCGATGTGATAAGGTGCCATATCAAACGCAAGGATTATCATTACTCATTAGTCTTATCATCAATTCGCTCCAGAAGGTTTTTTTTTCTGTTTTTTAAAAAAAATTTGGTTCCCCGTCCAAGAGAAAGAAAAAGTAATCAGTAAAATAAAAAGACGACGAAACAATAGAAAACAACTCAAACCAAGAACAAAAAACAAAAAACAAGAAAAAAAACAAGAAAGGAAAGAACAAGCGATGGGGGTGGATGGAGAGAGAGGGAGGGAGAGAGAGAGAAAGAAGATGCCTTCATAAGGGAGAGGAAACAATTTGGAGAAGAAAAAAAAAACGAGTGGAGGAAACTGCAATTGATGGACGCCCCCTTTTCCCCCCCCCCCCACCGGAAATACGCTCCACACGCGCAGCATGACTCACAATGCATGTCGCAAACAGGGAGCTGCTATAGGTCAGTGACAGCCGAGCGCACCAATCAGCTCGGGGCGAGGGCGGGGCTTGCCGGCTGGGTCAGCACAACGTCGGGGTTCAATGTGACCAAAGGAAGAGGAGGTGGAAGGCAGGAAGGCAGCAGCCGGGCCCGGGGTGATGGCTTCTGGTGAGGAGGACATTGTGTTGCATTGACTTGACTCGCGACTTTTTTGCACTGGTGGAACCAAACTTATAAAACTCATGGTGCAGCCCAGTGAGGGAGGTGGGCAGCAAACCCCAGGCTCTGCCTCTGCCTCTGCCAGCAACCCCCAGCTCCTGTCCTCTCAGCCATAAAGGAGACACACACACACATACATACACACATCACATACATCAGCCCACATTACATAAACACACACCACACACATACACACACACATGCAAATGCTTGGAGGAGGAGGAAGAGAAAGAGAGGAACTATCGTTGATTCCCACCGTTTGCACCAGAGCGGAAGGAAATGCAGTCAACCCGGCAAATGGAAAAGAAATCTTAAACGCAGAAGAGGAGCCCCGCATTGGAGTCGTTTTCTTCTGAAGAAAATATATAAAACGAGGCGGTCTTTCGGTGTCTTTGTGTCTGGGGGTTCGTGTGTTTTATTATCAACTGCTATCATTGCTTTGCAACCGTATTTGGGTGCTGGAGAGACTCGGCACATCTTCAGAGGAAGAGGGAAAAAAAAGTGAAGGAAGAAGCCAAGGAAAGGAACCCTGGGGAGCAGAGCACTCACCCACCCACCCACCAGCCCGTTGGCCGGTGTTTAGATGAGAATGTCATTGGCGCAGAGGGTTTTAATGACCTGGCTCTTCACCCTGCTCTTCCTCATCGTGCTGGTGCTGAAGCTGGACGACAAGGCACACTGGAACTGGTTCCTCATCTTCATCCCGCTCTGGATCTTCGACGCCATCCTGCTGTTCATGCTGATCGTCAAGATCGCAAGGAAATGCAAGTCCGCCTACGACAGGAGCGGTGGCAAGCTGAAGAGGAAAGTCTGGTACCTGTGTGCCATGCTGCTCAAGCTGGGCTTCCTGGTGGCTCTATGCGCCAGGCTGGAGCACATCACAGACACCAAGCTCACTTTTGTCTTCATCCCCCTCTGGATGTTACTGATTGGAGCCATGGTGGACATAGGATGCAATACTTTCCCACGGGACCAGACGGATTAAAAAAATAATAATTTGTTCACTCAGTCCACAACTGTTTATGGGACACTGCTGTGTGCAATTGGCAGCCGCGTTTCGCCCACAAAATATACGGTCAATTCTGTGAAGCGCTTTGAGATGGCTCAACAATGTGATAAGGCGCTATAACAAATGTAAGGATTATTATTATTATTTTTGTTAGTGGTTCGGTGGACCGGACTGATTGAAGTTGGATGGTGGGTGACCGTGCTTTTGCCGTCTCTGCGCCTAGAGCCAGTTCACTGGACGCGTGTGTATGTGACGAGGAAGGTTGTGGGAAAAGTAGCCAGTTTTTTTGAGAGGGAGAGAGGATGGCATCCTCCCCCACCCCTGGCGTAAAGTGATGCAAAATTTGTTTATATAAATGTGGAAAGTTATATTGTTTTCTTTAAAAAAGCTATACCTAAATAAATGTGTAAATTGACCAATGTTTCTGAGGTTAAAGTTGATTACTGGCAGATTTTTTTTTACCTAAAGTTCTACAGTGTGTAGTATCTGATGCAGATTTTTTTTTTGTGTTTAGGAGCAAATGTGTGATATTCCTGTGTGCAAATTATACAATCACGACACTTAACTCCTTGAGATGTTCTCCTGACAGGACACATACTATAACAGAAGTGAGGATTATTATGAGAACTGCAAGTATATTATCAACTGAGCCATTAATAATTTGATATAGCATCTCTCATTGTCGGCTGACTTAAACCATTTCAAAAAGGATTTGCTAATGAAGTGTAGTGAGTGTATTTATAGGTGAATGCAATAGAGTACAAAATTACATTTGTAAAGCGCCTTTCACGTCAGGAGGACGATCCAAGGTGCTGGACGGTGAGGGATTTGGACCCGAGCTGGGCGTCGGGAGTGAGGAGGGTGGAAGGCAGGGAGGGTTGCTGAAGGGGCGGTCGAAGAGGGTTTTGTGACGCGTCTTGAAGGAGGCAAGGGAGGAGGTGAAGAAGGGAATATGGGATGGAGTTCTATAGAGTGGGGGCAGAAAGGTTGAATCCCGATCGCGGATGATGGGGCGGGCCGGGCGGGGGACGTGGAGCAGGCCAGAGCCTACTGCGCGGAGGGAGTGGACAGCAGGTATGGGGTCAGCAGGTCGCAGAGGAAGGACCAAGGCCGTGGAAGGCCTTGAAGGTGAGGATTTTGAACTCTCTGGGGGATGGGAGCCAGTGGAGCTGGGCGAGGATGGGGGGCTGATGAGCTCAGTGCGGGAGAGGACACGAGCTGCAGACAGCAATATCCTGCAAACAGCCATTAAGTAAATAACCAATTTTATCTGGGGGATTATTGGCCAGATTATAAAGAGAGATTCCTTTCTCTTTTCAAACAGTGTCACTGGGATCTTTAACATGCAGATCTGGCGTCTGAACAGACAGATGATTTAATGTCTTATTTTGAAGGATAGCTTCCTCCTAACAATGTGGGTCTGCCCCAGCACTGCATTGGATGTCAGCCTGGACCATACTAGTTCAAAGGCCTAAATCCAGAACCTCCTGAGTCAGAGGTTAGATTGCGACCAACAGTGGCAGACTGACACGCAACCATATCCCATATATGTTAGCATCTTGAGCAGAGGATGGACAAAAGTTGAAGAGATTTTAAAAATAACGTTTGTTCAATTCCCTCTGAACAAATATACTTTTGGCCTCAACCACTGCTCTAAGTTGGCAACATTACATCCTAACAAATTAATGTGAATTTAAAAAAAATCTAAGCTCTTCCTTTATTTTCGGTAATTACCTTAAATCTGTCCTCCAGTTACCAATTCATCAATACATGGAACTAATGTCTTCCTGTTTCTATTATCAAAATCCTTCAAATTTCCAAAACCTCCACCAGGTCTTTTTTTTTAATCCCCTTCTTGGGAACACAGCACCAGCTACACAAGTGAAAATCTCTCATCTCTGACATTAACCTAATGAATCTCCTCTGTACCTTATGTTCTTACCTTCAAGGTCTTGACAATCTTCCCATTGTGGGTGCCTCAAACTGGATATAAAATCCATTTGTGGCTTGACTAACGATTTACACCGACCGCTTTAATATTACCCCTTTGGAATATTTTATTCCCCCTTTTATAAAGCCTAGGATTTCATTAGCTTTTTTATTACAGCTTTGTCCTCTCGTTTAAGCAGACCAGTTGGGTTTAAACAATAATCATATTTAGTAATAAACAGCAATAGCTTTTAGCAAATCCTCATCTTCAGGCACGACAGCTTGGAGCATTGGCAAAATTGGCCCGGTAGGCGAATTCCAAAGATCTATTGCTCAGTTCATGTGGAGTTGTGCTGCTCATCAAGAAGCTCACAGGTTCTTTCCACTAAGTAAAATGCTCAAATAGGCAATTGTCAGATGACCAACTTGTGATTATCCCCCTAAGGTCTGCTCCTCGGACACTGCTTTTGCTGGTTCAACCCCATTAGTACTTGATGCAATATTTGGATTGCCCAAGTCTTGGCTTTGTCCAAACTACACCTAATAATTTCTCCGGAAATAGGGCAGCAGAATGCATCCCTCTGGGAAGAGAGGGGAATACTATGCACGACTTGGGTTTCCTTACGTTTCAGACACTAAGCGAACAAATCTGACATATTTTCTTCCTCTCACATACATAATTCTCATACAGTTCTAAACACACATTCTCACTCAAAAAATAAAATTCCTCCTTTGCCTATGCCGTGGCACCAAAAATATGTACAGCACTGATACTGCCAGACATTTTTCCATAACTTCTGCTTCTCAGCAAGTCTGTTATTTGTCCACGATCTTTGCAGATCCATTTCTCACTGACAGTGGAATATATTACACAAGTGACATATCCTGCAAAATTGTCACCTCGTTGTGCTTATTGAACAGGGCCTTTTGGAACCATTTATGATTGTCTAGTCCTGCTGTCTGATTTTTGCGCTGCCAGAGGCTAACCCTGAAAAAGTGCAATTTTTAAGTATCAATGTTTTGTCACACAAAAATATATAGTTTACCATCAAAATACCTTTATATATATATGTATATAGCTACTGGAATTTCCACTGCACAGAATTTAGGTTTATCCAATAGGCCGGTGAATAAATGTATTATGTGGTGCGGTACTGAAACAAAAAAGCTAATTTCTGAGTTTAAACTCACTCTTGGGTGTGTGGGGGGCAGAGTAAATTTGGCCAAGGATCCTGTTAATCACACCTAGGGATTGATATCTATTCAAAGTGCAAGTGTGAATCTTTGGACCGGTTTTACAATCAACATGTTAACTGCCCACACGCCTAGATCGGTACAGTCTCGAGTGTGAGTTTTGCTATTTATATTCATATGAAGTGTGGGTCAACAGATATTTTTTCTTGATATGAATTGTGCACTTAAAAGGAGTTTCTCTTGACCTGGTTAATAATCCCCCCCAAATAAAATTAGGAATTCACTTTATGGCTATTTATTAGATATTGTTGTGCACAAATTGGCTATCAGATTTGCCTATAAAGTTAGTTACTACACTTTACAAGTAGATCCTTGAAGTGAAGCAATATTTTTTGAATATATTTCCAACCAGAATAATCCAGTAATGTTGCATTCATTGTACTGTTCAACAAAGTGAAGAAACTCGTCAAGAGTCAAGAGGGTGGGTGGCATTTCTCCCAGTATGGTACATACACTATTTGAGATCAATTTCTATCAGAAGTTTAAAAAGGTTTAGTGTAAGCGCATGGTAGCTGAAGCAACAATACAACACAGGTGGAATATGTTCATTTGATGTTTCTGTAAATATTTTCCATTGATGGGACTATTTTAAATCCATTCAGATAACCTCTAGATATTTAAACAAATGATTTTTTCAAATATTGTGATTTCCTCTCTTTCAATCTATTAGTTAATCTTGAGCTGGCATTTGACAATCATTAATTTGTTCTTATCATAACTGAATCCGCCCAAGTCGCTTCCTGATTTACTTTCTATTGTACTGCTTTCAATAGCTGTTTCCATCATCTCCTCCCCGCTGTATAGGTCTTTTATTAGTTCCATCTATAATAATAATAACTGCTGTGACAATTGGATTCCACGTTTGCCCACAAATATACAGTCAATCCACTTTAAAGTATATTCTGTGAAGCGTTTGGAGACGTCTCAAAGACGTGAAAAGTGCTATATCAAATGCAAGGATTATTCTTATAATACCAGATCCATCTTTCCTTTTTGCAATTTGTTAATTCAAAAGTTTAGTCTTATTGGATTTTGCCTCAAAATAGAGGATTTTAGCTATTGATTTACTCTATTTAATCCTTTCATTACATTTACACACCCCAAGCGCACTGAATATCCCTGACTTTAAATATTAAAACAATCTGCTAATCAACTTTAAATATTATCCACCTCCAAATTTCATTTAAGCAAATCAAATTGTTTTGATATTTTACATTTGGGTCCTTATTTTAAGTACAGATCATCCTTCTGAATAAAACTTTCTTGCATCTAAACAGGATACAAAATTAGTTTCAAATTGGGTTCAAAATAACAATTGTGCAGCAAAGTGCTTTTTCTTTCTAAATGGCCAAATACCAGTGCAAACTATTTAGATACCATTTTTCAGTTCAATTTACCTACAATACGCTTTATATTTTATTCAGTTTCTCACAAAACTAATTTGGCTCCAGATATATCTGGGTGAAACATTAGGCAACATTTCTTACCCTATACGTCTCTGATCACCTAGCAGTAAGTAGGAACCCAGTTGTTAGTCAGTCAATTGGTGGATCGCTTTCTGGGGTAATAATCCCTCCAAAATAATAATGTTGTCACTCAGTGCAATTGGCTGCTGCATTTTGCCTACAAAATATACAATCAATCCACTTTAGTGCATTCTGTGAAGCGCTTTGAGATCTCTCAACGACATAAGGTGCCAAATCAAATACAAGGATTATTATTTTATACCATTTCTGGTTTAGATAATCCAGAACTCTGCAGCCCGTGTCCTCTCCTGCACCAAACTCCATGACCCCATTGGCTCCCTATCCTTCAGAGGATCCAGTTCAAGATCCTGGTCCTCACCTACAAAGCCCTCCATGGCCTCGCCCCACCCTACCTCTGCGACTTTCTAACCCCCTACCAACCCGCCTGTTCCCTCCGCTCAGCCGGCTCACGTCCCCCGACCCACCCGCCCCACCATTGGCGGGAGAGCCTTCAGCCATTCTGCCCCCAACCTCTGGAATTCCATTCCCCAATCACTCCGCCTTTCCCCCTCCTTCAAGTCCCGTCTCAAGATCCTCTTTTACCATGCCATCAGCCAGATGCTTATTCAGCCCGAAAATCCAACATTTTAAACATTTGTATAGTTTTCCCTCTCAAATAAATGCTTGCTGCAGCCTCAAAGTTTCTCGTTTGCTCATAAACTTAGCAACCTTTCCTTTGCACAACTTTCAGCTCTATCTGTCCGATTCTTCGATGAACAGTCCTCACATTGTCCCCTTGCAACCAATTCTCCAAGGGAAATTGGAGTCCCCATTTTCCTGGTTGTGCATCTTTTAGAATCTTCTCAGTTCCCATTATCATTCCTCTCAAACTTCTCTCTTCCAGCGGAGAGAAACAATTTAGCCGTTCTCTTCTCCTTCATATATTGTCTGGTATCGTCCTTTTGAATCTACACTACAGACCCTCCATTTCTACGACACTTCTTGTAACAGGGCAGCCAAAACTGAACACATTTCTAATTGCGATACGACTTAATAGTTCTAATTATCTTATCTACATCTTCATTTTCTTCTTACATATTGTCTATACAACTCAAAAATATATTAAAAACAATGAATGTAATCTGAAGCTAATCAACTGATGCCACTTTATCGAATCCACATTTCAACCATTCCGACTTGGGCTAACCTGATGTGGACTGAAAGCTGGATTCTCTTCTGGTGTCATTCCTCTTTATAGGTCTTGTAAGCTAAACTCCAAGGTGGCTGATGGTCAATGGTGATCCTCTTTTTAATATTTAATTCTTTGCAAAAGTCCTTCACTCTGTACCCGGCTGGAGTGCATCTGTGGTTTTATAATTTGTCTACCAAATGGGCTTTGAATTTTTGGGGGGAATTTTACAGATGTATCGCAGTTATGCGACAAAATAGTAGCAGCAGCACCTGTCACTTCAAAACTAAAGTGCTTTACAGAACTTAATCTGAACATTGAATAAATCGGCAAAACTCACCAAAACAAATCAGTCAATACTTTCTTTCCTCAAGTCAAAAATAGACATGGAATGACAGAATTCCTGTATCCGAGGAAGGGCATTTGATTGCATAACATAATAGCTCTTAATTGGTTTGCAGGGAGAGAAAAGTCAAACAGAAGCTGAAATCCACCCTAAAGAGACAAAAGGTTCCCTTCTAATAGTCGTATGGCTTCCATCTGAAATCTTACAGTTGCCGCGAGCGAAAAGTCCAGCTCAAGTACAAACCTTTCACTGTCCAGAACCTTGGGACATCCTACTGGCTTGAAAGGTGTTAGATAAATGAAATTTGTTGTTCGTTGTTGTTAAGTGAATTTGATCCTCTAATCCAAAAGTTCAATTAATAGTTATCTTGGCTTCCAAAATATCCAGTGAAGAGACAGGAATATTTCAGAAAGAACGCTACTTCATATATGAAAAAAAACAGATGCAATTGGAACAATAAAGGGGTTAAAGATATTGAGTGGCTTACTTAAGGACTAAATAAAAAAACTCGTAGATCAGTCTCTGTCAATTATATTCATTTAGATCCTGCACAGAAATAATTTTGAACCATAAGTAGTGATTCCAGAAGATGCAATGATAAAAACTCAGCAAGTAAGCCCATACAATCTCCATGGGTACTTTGATTTCTCTTGCTGATGTTGAATTACTTATTAAATTATTACAACAGTAAAAGAAAACTTTAGTTTTTGTCTCTACCAATGCTCGTTTTCCTCATTTGTCCCCAAATAGTCAGATTTCTTTTCCCTCCTCTTGATCCTGAGCCCATCTGCTCAATAATGGAAGAGTGCATCCTTCCAGGGAGAGAGCACATTCCATTCCAATAATCCATCTCTGGGATTTCCACGTGTAGGTGGGATGCATGGAATTCTCAGCTTGGTTTGGATACTCTTAAGCACGGTGATGGGTTTCCGCATGTGTCAGACACCTGACTGACCAAAAAAGAGTGGATCTGCTCCACCGCCATCTCATAAGGTGCTAGAACTTGAATCGATTTTATCACTACAGGAAGATTAGTAACACTAATTAGTGGCCATCACATTGTAAAGCACTGTACATTCACTGAGAATATTCATTTTGACTTGCATTTGTTTTCAGCATAATTTGTTATCTTTTGCTGCTGATATGAATGTTTTTTTTAAAATAAAATCTGTACAACATATTTAATGGAAATAATGAATTCTGAAGGCATGGACACATCAAGATTTTTTTTTAAACCATGCTAGAAATAATTTTATCACAATAGCTTCACCTTGTGCCAAACAATTCTTGTAGTGGTAAAGGTCAATATAAACTTCATTCATTATTGCGTAAGAAAAGCCCTTTTAAATTTGATTGCTGGAGAAACATATACTCTAAAATGGAATAAGTGAAAGCTAAAGATGGAGCTATCAAACTACTGTAATGTTAACTAAAATACTGATAAAATCACCTCATTTCATTGCAAACATTACTTTATATCTCAAGTCAGTCATTTTGTCCCATCATAATTCAGCAATTGGTAGACAAAAAAATGTTGTTCACACATTGGTTCAAATCACAATTTCATTCTACACTGGTTGATACAGTAATTAGTCAAAAACCTGATAATTCAATGAACCTAAACATTAGGAAAGTAATGGTCTACAGGGTTACTCTTGCTTCTGGGTCAGAAGATTGTCGGTCAAGGTGTGTTGCGACTTGAGCTCACAATCTAGGCCAGCGCTCCAGGGCAGTGCTGGGAGTCCAAGGTGCCATTCTTTCAGAGATGTTAAACTGAAAGCCTGGCTGCCAATTCAGCAGGACATTAATGGATCCCATGATGGTATTGGAAAAGAGTGGGGAGTTTCTCCTGGTATCTTGGCCAACAATCTTATAGATAATTATTTGGGGGGGACAAGTTTGCAAAGCTATGGGGAGAGAGAGCAGGGAGTCAGATAGCTCTTTTTCAAGAGCCGTCATAGACACGATGGGCCGAATGGCTTCCTTCTGTGCCGTATAATTCTATGATCAATCGGTCATTCACTTCATGGCTGTTTCTGGAATCTTGATGGCACAAATGGCTGCCGCACTTGCCTAATAAACTTTCACTACACTGGATTTGTAGTAAGTGCTTTTGAGATCCTCGATGCAAAGAGGTTCTACAAAAATTAAGTTCTGTTAATATTCGTTGCCCAGAGATCATAAAAGATTTTCAGGCATGATAATTCTTTTCAACCAGTTGAGAAATTGAAGAAAAATCAAACTGATTTTCAATTATCATTGACCCAAATTATAATCTTTAAAAAAATCTCAATCCATATAGTCTTATACTATACTGAATGGAAATAGTTGTACATGGGATTTGACTTTTTTTTATATAAAATATTATGTAATCATTATTTTCCAAACCACCCCATCCCACTACATTTTCTCCAAAATGTAGTCAAAACAAGTTAACTCACTGGACTTTGGTGATGTGCTTTGCACACTTAACAGAGCTAATGCAGGAAAAGGTGTTCCACCTTAATCTAAATTACACAAGTGCAATAAGTATGGTCAGGTATGTCACAATGTGCAGAAATGCATCACTACAGCATGGAATTAAGACTATAAATTCAATTTTCAAATAGGATAAAATCGGAAGTGAAATTTCATAGTCACTTTGAGTTGACACCACAAGACACTAATCTGATCATTTTACTACAATATGGAAAGACTTGGATCTACGTCAGATTAACAATAAATAACCCACCAAAATCAAGCTACACTATATGACTAACCAAAATCTTACCTGGCTGAGAAGTACCTATCAGGCAAACATAACTCTTCATACAAAAGAATCATCTTTGCTTTTATGAAGAGCCCTTGAGAGTTTGTAGAATAAAGAATCTTAAAAACTAACTTTCGTTAGTGAGGTACTTTAGTGATTTAGACAATAAATGAATAGCTTTATTTTAAAATCTAATTTCTGATAAATTTGCGCTCAAATCTTTCCTCCCACCCCCACCCTCTGGAAGGAAATTTAAAAAATCCTGATTTGTATGCACAATTACATTAAACTTTTTTTTCATATCTACATTAGGTGAAATAAAATAATGTTGGTGTAAAACAGCTCAAGACTACTACTTCTGGAACTTACGGTTTGTATAAAAAACATTAAAGCACACTGAACCTTTATTAAGTGGTTCAGATTTTAGTTTTAAATCACACTACATAATTATAATAAAAAATGTATTTACACTACTGTGTTGACACAAATACCAGTATTCAAACTTGCAATTAGGTTGACATAAGCTCTAGGGATAAGCCTGGACTTGGAAACAATTTTGGCTCAGCTTACAAAAAAAATTTACGCTGAGGTCAACTCTGCTTCTATTCCCATTACTTATCTAAAAATAAAAAAGTAATTTTTTTAGACTTTTTTTCCATTAAACCTGTAGTATTACAGTACATCTGTCCCTAAGTGCTGTTGTGTTTCACAGTTATGAACAGGCACTGAGGAATGTTACAAAGCTAAATGTACTGTTCTGTCCTATCGCGTAACAGTCTTGAGAACAGTGACAAGCTTGCCCCACAGAGCTTATGTAAGCAAGAACATTGTACGTCACACCATCATTAAGATACATTTAAAAAAAATAAAAGCTCCAAAGGGTGTATACACATCAGTAAGAAAAGTTCGGTCGCTGCTCATGCAAATCTGGATCTACTGAGGATAGCTGCTGTTGATCTCCACGGTCAGTTTGGGGGTTTGGGCACACAAGGTCTTTTGACTCTGTTGCAAATTGCGATTCAGTGTTTTCAGGCTCCGCTTTCACTTCTGGGGGTTCAGCAACATGAAGTTCTATTTTGATTTCTTGATGCTTTGCATTTTCAGAGGTAATGTCACCTTCCTGCTTCATGTCCTCAGTCTCTATTTTGATATCTGGGCACTTGGTGTCTGCTGGTGTATCTGGGCCTTCTTCAGAAGTGCATTCTTGATGAGGTGTTCCTTCCCCTTCTGGATGATATTGTTTCAACCGTACGTGCCATGCTAAACTGCAAACAGCAGATACAGTCTTGAACTGATGTACAACATTGCGAGGAATGAAATATATGTCATTGTCATACAGCTGAATTCTAGCATAGCGAATACCTTCTCTTCGTATTTGATTGAGCTTTGCATCATCTACCCACTGAACACACTAAAATAAGGAGATAAAACAGAACAGATCAATGAAAACTGGATATGATACCTTAAACTGTGTGTATTAAAAACAAGGACACATGCACAAGTGAAATACACATTAAATAGATATGGCACCATATAAGTAGGCACGATTGTGGTTTCCAACTGAATTCACCTTTGGCAGAATAGCAGTGATTTCACCTGTTTTCAAATCAACCAGATGAAGTGACGTTGCAGCACAACTATTTTCAGGGGCAGGAAAATGACTGGTTGGTGTACCCTGAATGTACAGCTGCTGAATGATCTTGGTAAGTCACACAATGATAGTGGCCCTGGAGTAGTCTATGGCCCACAGGGAGAGATTGCAATCCCAATGCTGTTTCAGAATCCTGGGGTTTTAATTCCACAAATCCCTGATCTCACTGGGTTTCTGCCCAGGCATTGTGGAGTCCTGTAGCTCAGTGGTTAGAGCACTCGCTTTGCAAGCGAGAGACCGGAGTTCAATTCCAGGCAGAGGGCGAAACCTTGGGCAAGTTTCCTTACTCCACACAGAGCCTAATAATAATCCCTCCAAAACCCAAAACAATAATAAATTGGTCATTTTCATTCTACGACTGTTTGTGGGACATTGCTGTGCGCAATTGGCTGCCGCGTTCGCCCACAAATATACAGTCAATTCACTTTACAGTATATTCTGTGAAGCGCTTTGGGACGTCTAGAAGACGTGAAAAGCGCTATATCAAATGCAAGTATTATTATTCTCCGCCCCCAGGAGGTTTAAACACCCATCCATCTGCTCCCAACAGCTCGTCCTCACGGCAACATACAGCCCATGTCGGGCAGAGCGAGAAGACCCACCCATGCTCGGCCTTTGTACAATCCCCGAATTCCAGGATTCTCTTCAATGAATCATGGGATTTTGGGAGCACAATTACCATACTGGATTTCTGGGATTGCAACTCCTACCTACAGGTGGCAGCAACATTCAGTTCCCATTTTTAGCTTTTCAAAAATAATTTGTTCGGCTATTTTCTTCTACTCTTTCAAAAAAAGGCATAAACAGATCATAAAATTAAAACAGTTTCTGCCCGTATTTGAACAAGTCAAGCATTCAAATAAATCATTTAACTTAATCTTGGGATTCAATGAATTTGTTTAACCACGATTACCTGAGACAATGGAGGTTCGTGCAGGTCCAATTGAAGTCTCTGCACCACATCCAGAAAGTCTTCTGAATGAAAACAAATCACATCTTTGGTTATACGGGGTTGATCAGACCTGGGGAGGGTGGAAAAAAAAGGAAAGATGATATAGCCTAGGCTTCATTCTGTTTCAAAATCCTCTATTGATGCAACCTTTCATTTTGTTGAACTGTTTAAAAGGGAGAGCAAAGAAATGGAAGGACGAGAGGCAATTAGCTGCAAATCATAGTATGTTTATGGTTTATGGTGGCTGTACCATTGCAGAGATCTGCTAAGTGTAATTTAATCATCTCCTCTCAAGGTAGGAATTTAGACGGCAACTACTCATGAACCTAGCAGCCAGTTTCCAGCAAAGATGCCAGGCATCACCTACCGAGTCCAACATTTTGGACAGAATATGGTACAGAGAACCAGGGAATATATGGGGGGAGCCTCACCCTCAAAAACAACATGAAAAGGCTATTCCATTCATCCAGCCTGAACCCTCAAACAGAAAGTTATGTGTATACAGTAAAACTTACCCAAGACTGATCTGTATAAATTGTATAAGCGCCTAAGTCGTATATCTGCCCAAATCCCATTCAAGAGTTTATATTCTATACAAGTTTGACGTGACCCATACTTTTCATAAGTCATATTAAATGTATTGTCTCATGCACATTGTGAGGTTTACTGTATTGTCATACTTAATGTACTATGAGGCATCAATAGCCACAGGTACATTTTTTTTACTTGTCTTGAAAATCACTGTGAATTCCCGAAAGTAATCAAACAATCACAAGGCACAGACCTAACACTACAGTATTCACCCCAACTGCTACATTATAACGATGCATCATCGCATGGTTCCAAAAAGAATGCAACCTTAGTAATCTGTGAAGTATTTAATCATCTTTGTCTACAAGTTTAGGCTGATGCTCCAACACAGTTCAGGCGGAAAGCACTGTATTGTCGGAGGTGTTGTTCTCAGATGATGCGATAAAACCCGATCAGGTGGATATTAAAAATTCTATTGCATTATTCAAAACGGAAGGGAGCTTGTCCCAGCTTGCGAGCCAACAAATTCCCAGATTAAAAAAAAGATTATTCACTTCATGACTATATGCAACATTGCTCTGTGGCAAATAGACTGTTGTGTTCACTACAAAAAACAAAGCCACTACACTTAACATCTCAAAGCTCTTAAGAGTTTTGCTGCGAAGTGATGATCCATTATAGAATGCAAGGATTATTAAGGATTATTAATATTTGACATAGGAATACATAGGGCCAGAAAAGACCACTGTGGCCCATCTGCTTGGATCAAAAGTTTGAAAAGTACCACACAATACTCTCATACCCTTCTATTCTTTCATCAAACGAACACGCAGCTTTCCCCCTCGACCTCCGTAATATTTCCCGTTTTCTCCACTACCTCTCCCCTCGGACTGCTGAGACTAATCTATGCCAACGCTCTACTTGCTGGACTACCTACACCCCAGGAATTATGCACAAAAAATATTATACAAGCAAAAAAAATGACATTTTAGCAATTGAAATTGCTAACAGGATAACAGTAATATAGCCATTTTAGAAAGATACAAAGGCCAGTTTCATAACTATATTATATAGCACATACATATCACAAAAGCTATCAAAAAGTAATTTATTATCAGTCCAAGATTGAAGTAAAAAGAAAAAACACAAATTGCACTTATATAGCTGTGGGCATCATGGAATCCAGATTGGAGGGGTAGGAAATGATTTGTTCCAGGACCTTGCAAAGAAAAGGAAGGTTGAAGATGGGATGGTAGTTGGAGAAGAGATGGGTCAGGGGAAGGTTATGAGGAATATCATAAGTCCTTGCTCTGTACAATATGCAAGGTAATTAAATTATTGTGCAGATAGTCTTTCTTTCATAACAGATACGAAAACAAACAGAATATATTTTTGTAAACAAGCACAGAAAGTAGAAACCAAGAAAAAAAAAACCTCGATGTTTAAATTACAAGATTGAAATAAAGCTCCTTCAGTATGCCTTGTGAAAGAGAACGCCTTTGGTTGGACAGGACAAGATTATACAGTGAGTTGCTGTGCTCTGTGTCAGCTGTATTGGTGACTGCAAAGCTGGGGTTGTCAAATTAGGAAGACAATCAGCTGTTAAAGACCATAACAAATCAATGTCAATTTTCCCCGGTGGTAGAGCATACTGGATAGCAACGAGTGCCAACTTGTAAGTGTACAAAGTAAACTCTGCTGGAATGTCACTGAAGCCCGGAACCGAAGCATAGACATCTTTGAGACATCTTAAAGACGTGATAAGGCACTATATCAAATGCAATTATTATTATTAGAATCCTCCTTGATATGTGACATCACAGGAACTCACAGGATTGAAAATTCTTATACACTTAAGGAATTTGATAGCGGGTTGCCCACTCTTGGTATCACTGGTGTAATTTAGCTTTTCGGATGAATTGTCAATAGAAGAGCAAAAACAGAAGCAAATCTGATCAGGTGTTAAAATATTATTGATACCTTCAGACTGAGAAGCCGTTGAATGATGTCCTCCAAAATTGGGCACAAGTCTCAAGGAGAAGCAAAAGCTCATCCATTTTCTCAAAAGCAAAGGGTGCGAGGTATCCAGCTTTCAAATTTAGCCTTTAGTTCAACTGTCGACTTGCACATCTCATCAGTAAAACAACGCAATCTTCAGCGTTAAATGCTGGGCCTCATCTGGCAACATTCTTTTAAGTTCATGCAGCAAATGCAGTGCTGAGTTGACATAAAGGCTGTGATAATATTCAAAGGATTTTACATGGTATGGAACGGCAGCAAAAAAAAACAGCTGTTCCACCCAGTTGCTAATGGTGTCATTGCTGCTCTGGCAACTTTTTGCATGAAGTGATTTAAGCACCTTATCTCCTGCCCCTGCCGTATAGAACGTGAAAATGCCCTTACCAGTGCAAGGACATCCACAAAAGCCTTAACAAAAACTTTCTCCTACCAAGTTGAATATTTGGGTAAAGCATGGGATGTGGAGGCTATCGGGAAACAGGCCAGAACTGAAAGCTTCATTCACGTAAGTAGCATTATCCGTGCCAGACAACCACAATGTTGTAAGCAATTTCGTAATTCTGCACCGTTTGAATGACTGCTTGAGACACAGCGCTGTAATTCATTTTCAGATGAAGTGCACGTCAGCAAGATAGGAGCACACTTTACCAGTGCCACCTTTCACCAATAGTGCAATTAAAATGTTAATTATGTAGCAGCTTTCATAGTCAGTCATTTCATCGAATATAATTGACACTTTGTCCTTAAGTTTATCTCTCTCTCTCTCTCTCTCTCTCTCAATGCTGCAGGCATCTGTAAGATATGCCTCGTGTTGTTGGTAACCTCCTGAAATTGCACCACCATTCTTGACTCGAGTATCAAGAAACTGCTGTACCAAAGGCTGGTCTGTTTCAGATAGCGATATATTTGCTTCGGCAAAAGTTTAGACTCTATCACTGACCCGATCTTCTTTGCAATTGTGGTTGTGTTGAACCAGGTTGAAATTATGCGCTGTATTTTATGAGATTGTGCTTGCAACCCAGCCTCTCTCTTTAAACATATTTTTTCAGGTGGTTTGCAATTGTTGATTTCCTCTCATGGTTGAGAACAATGTTACACACTTTGCAAGAGTTTTCTTCTCTCTTTGTGCACATCTGAAATTGCACCACTATTTTTGACTTGAGGAACATCTCCAGGAAAATCTTGTGTTGTAGTTTGCCGATACGTTTCCAAGGTGATACCTTTCTTGTGGCATTTTTTGCCAAAACTGTTTAATGGTTCATTTATCATTAAACCTTCAAAGGCTTTGGACCAGCGACGGAGGTCATGGGGAGGGTGACTTCACATATCCTGCCCGGACCATCAGCAGTTGTGCTTTCAGCTGATCGGCCCCACTTTCTGGGCCTTCATCCTCGAGTCCTTCTGACAAGACTCCTCCCTCATCGCTTTCAAGGTCCGTCTCAAGACCTTCCGATCGACCGCACCTTTGGTCATCTTTCCCCGCCCCCAACCCCCTTGGCTTCTACCCCCAATTCAAGCCAGAATTAGCAAGGACCTTGGGACCTCCTCCCAACATGAAAGGTGCCACATAAATGTAAATTTGTATTGTATTGAGTCCTCTTTGTTACACATAAACAAGCCTGTTCAGCATCGCATCTGAAAGCTGGAGTCCTTTGATATACAGTTTGTGGTGGGAAACAATTTGCATCGAGCTGATCTGTATTCCTTATTCTAGAAATCATCACTATTTAAAACTGCACCTGCAAATTACTGACAGTAGCATAACCCACACAATTATTTTGTGCAGATTAAATTTATGAACTGTTCATTAACGATAACAATATTGGCACAAAGACTTCCAATTCAAGACAGTCTCTGCGTGACCATTTTCTATAGTAATTTCTAAAGTGTAAATATTTTCTTCTCAGACCATACTTAGGCACCTCAAAGAGAAATATTCACAAGATATTTCTAAAGTAATATTAACTTTTGTGTTAGATCAGACACTTTGCAATATATAATTAAGTGTGGAAGAAAATGAACAGCTTGCAAATAATAAGATAAGCGTTCAGAACAAGCATTCACATACCAATCCCCACACTGTACTGCTTTCAACACTCCAACAGCTGCTGTCGTGCAACGTTCAAATCCCTGCCCGATATGATCTGCGTGGGCTCGAGTCCTGTCCTCAAACAACATTTCACGTGGCTCACTCGCACGAGGTAGATACTGTAAATTTTTTATTTCATTGGTAGTCCTAAAAATAAAAATAGATATAATCAACTCAACATTAACACTTTTATTTCTAGCTTGAAAGAGTTCAACTTGTTGCTTGAAAAGAAATAGATCTCACTGATTAAATCTATGCCAGGCATTGAAACACTCAAGGAAAATGAGAAGCGAAGAAGGATCGCAAGGTAATATTTAAGCAAGATAATATGACTGCGGGGGTGGGGGGGGAATGGGATAAGGAGAAAAAGCATAAAGCTTTATTTCAGTCACACAAAGTTCCCCCCAATAAATGGTTCCTCAACCAATTACACGAAAAAAAGATCTTGCACTTACCGTCTTCGTTTAAAAGGTGATTTTGGCATGTCTGCTACAGGGATCACCTGTTCTCCTGGACGAACCCACATAATAGGACCATCGTCACTTTCTTTGCGGCACTTAAGATTGAGACTAGAAAGTGTGCCCCACGGTAATGTACGCTGCAGATAGAAAAAGCACAAAAGCTTTCCTAAGATCAGATTTATCCAAATGTATCACAATATGACTTGGTCACAACTAAATTACTGCATATCTGTCTTTCAAGAGCAATATATTAAGTAAGCAGCTGTACGCAAACTTACCTTTACCCCAACGAACAAATGACTATAATTTAAACTACGAATTTACAATTTTTCCACTGTAAACATTTTAATATAGAAGCCCTCAGAAATCTTTTTGTCCTGTTCAATTTTCCCCTTCTTTTGCTACACACATTGTCGTAGTATAGGCACTGATGATTCGGCCCCAAGTGGTTATTCTTTATGCGTCAGCCTTGACACACTGTGTGCTGGACATTCTGACTCCGGGCAGCATCCCAAATATAATTCTGACATTCACATGTGCAATAAAGGCAACTGGATAGTAACCTCAAACCAGAAACTTGGTAGGTTTCCGCTTAGTACCAAGGCCCTACCATCAAGATCCACAATAATCATTGTATTCGACACATCAAAGCGCCTCAAAATGCTTCATATCGTTTTTTTTCCTGGAAAGCATAGTGAATAGATTTGTAGGAGAATGAGGCAACAAAACAAAAAGCATTTGTATTAGCCTTTTTCACGTTGGGACGACACCACAAGACGCTGGATAGTGAACTGGCACCAAAACTGTGTCCCAAAAACAGTCAAGAAGTGAATGATAATTTTTTTTATAACCTGGGGCATTATAAGGCAGGATACCAGGGAAAACTCCCTACCAGCGAGTACCAGGCTTGAACCCACAATCTTGGTCAGCGACGATCCTCCTGGGGGAGGTAAACAGGGTCTCTGTCTCTCACGCAAATAATAATAATAATCCTTGCATTTGGTGTAGCACCATATCAAGTCTTTGGGACATCTCAAAGCGCTTCACAGACTATACAGTAAAGTGAATTGACCGTATATTATATGGGCAAAACTGTAACTCTTAAGCATGGTGGTTGGTTCACACGTGTGTCAAGACACCCAGCTGTTCAAAGTCAAGTTACGGTGATTAAGTTAATTATTATTCTATACAAATTGAAAGTCCTCAAATACTAATTTTTTAAATGCATCTGGTGCTAAAATGTGATGTGTTTGTTTACCAAATCAATCAACTGATTGATTAAACCAATCAGTTTAATGATTTTTTTAAACAACAAGTAATATTAAATACTTTAAGCCAGAATTTTGAATGCCCTTTGTACCTTGACTATTGCCTCAGCATAACATTAAAAAGAAACCAGCTGGACAGCAAAGGTTTATTAAGCTAGTTAACATTTTAAGAATTCTAGAGAGACTGTACAAATAGCTGAATAGAGGGCAATACATTTCCCAATGTGTCAGTTACACAAAGGGAAATTAAAATGCATCTGGAAAGCATTGCCTAAAAGGGTGGTGGAAGCCAATCAACAACAACTTTTAAGAAAGAAGTAGATAATTATTTGGGGAGGACAAGTTTGCAGGGCTATGGGGAGAGAGCGGGGGAGTGGGATTGACTAGCTCTTTTCAAAGAGCCAGCACAGACACGATGGGCCGAAAGGCCTCCTTCTGTGCTGTATAATTCTATGATTGTATGATAAGAAGCAAGATGAACAGGGAAACGTCCTTATAAATGCAAAAAGTTAAAGTGCATTATTTTTGGAGATAAAAAGGGAACGCTGGATACCAAATAAAAAAATGAGATGCTGAAAATGTATAGCATCATCAGAACACTAAGTTAGCATTTGGGGTCTGACCCTAAATCTGAATATTTCAGTAATTTGTTATTTTGCACAATGCCAGTTACTTGCCGAGACAACTATAGGGAAATCCCCATTATAATGCGATGTTTCGACTCCCAAAATATTAGACGTCTCGTTATAAAAGGGCTGCGAAATAAATCGCCACTGGTTCGGATTCTGCGTCATCAGATTGCTGCTGATGTCACGTTGTGCGCTATTCATTAGTGTCATCTGCAAGATGCTCTGTTGACATCATGTCCTTCATGATGTGACGTCAGTGGCACAGAATCGTCACCATCTCACAGAAGTGACAAACAACTTGCATTTATACAGTGCCTTTCATGTGGGTAGCTTCTTGGAACACTGAACAATAGTATAGTTTCAAGTCGAGCTGGGAGGATGAACACAAAGCGAAGACAGCATCAACCTCACAATCTGGAAGGTGAATATTTTTAGGACCAGAGGTTAGGTGTATTGCACTCCTTTTTTTTTTAAATGGAGTGCTTCCCCTGTACACTGCACTGGAAGTGAACCTGAGCTTAGGAGAGGTGCATTCTAGCTACGTCTTCCTATATTCAGTAAGGGCCTATATTTTGAAACTCTGGAACCTACTCCCTCTATCCCACAGCCTGGCCCCTTACTTCCCCATCTTCAGGTCGTGCTTGAAGACCTTCTTTTTCGACTGTGCTTATGGTCACCTTCCCACCTCGCCCCAGCTCCACCACTGTCAAGCGCTCCAAGACTCCACCCTGTGTGAGGGGTGCTATAAATATATATATATATATATATAAATATAAAGATGTTGTTGTAAAGTTGAAAACATCTATGCCATCTATATCAATTGGTTAGTTTTCAGATCTGTTTTCATGTAGTTGAAAACCATACTACTTGGGTCACATACCTCAGTGATTGGGTTTGTATGAGAAAATGGATTTGTTGATAAAAAAACTCTCCTAAAGGTATGCTGGGGTTTGGTTTCATGGGCTACCGTCATCCTCTGGTACCTTATCCAAGTGGACATTCTTCACGAATAAAGCTAAATTGTTAGACCATTGGGGGTATTACACCTTAACTCGATCAAAGTTCTAATGATATTGTAATATTTTGAGGGAAATAACCTCAGTTCAAATGACTTGGCAACAAAAGTTAAAGGTGCTGGGTGCTGCTGCTATAGCAACACCAGGATCGGACACAACATGGTTATGGCTTTGAACCAGAGTTGAAAGTTGCTTGGGAAAGTTAGAGACATGGAACAGATGTACACTGAAACTGAGAATTAAATGGCTAATTACTCAGCACTGCACATAAAGGTTGGAGATTCAAAACCCAACTTGCAGATAATCAACCGTCGACAGCTCTAACAAATTGTACTACTTACTTTTAAAAAAGGAGACTCTTCCAATCTATCCAGGAACTCTGGGAAGTAATCTCCAACTTCTTCATCAACTGCTCCGACCAAGCTGATCTGTCGCATTGGGCCTGCCCTGTAAGTACCGTGAGAATATGTCCGCCTCACCTATTGTAGGTTAAAACACATAGATCAGTAGATGCACATGTACAGCACCATCTAAAATACTTATACAACATCAAATAATTTAGAGTAACATAATAACAATCCTTGCATTTGATATAGCACCTTAACACGTTGTTCAAAGCGCTTCACGGAATATATTGAAGTGAATTGACTGTATTTTGTAGGCAAAATAGTAATTAGATAAGACATAGGGGAATAGATAATTTTTTTGGCACCCATCAAGAAACAGAGTTGAAGAACAGACCATTTTTTCCCCACTTTATCATTCCAATATAAGTGATTGCACCCACCAGGTAAAAATTAAACTTTTGTTTAACTGTTTCAGTTCCAGCCTCAAAGGAATACTTGTGCACGTGATTTCCTTTTCTCCACCAACCATCTTTACACAAAACTTATGCAAATCCAGAAGGCCTTGTCAAGAATTCATGATTTTAAGTTCAAACTCAAGTAGGTACCAGACGCTGAAAGGTTGGGAGTCCCAATAACTATGCCAATTTCCACCAGCTCTGCTTCTATCTCATTCACAAGCACAAAACTATTTAGAGGAGTTTATTGAGATTACCTTATTTCTGGTGTAGTTATACTGTTGAAGGGATCAGGGCAGTGCAGAGGAGTAAAGAACAGTAAACAGATTTCCTGCTGCTGATTACTATTGCTGTGGAGAGCTTTGTGCATGTGCAACTAAGCTCTGCTTTCAAGGGAGTTTTTAATGTTATTTCTTGAATGACATTAAAAATGTTCCCTCAAAGCTCCTGGGTAGTCCAAACAACGTTTAAAAAAAGTTCACTTTAAAAACAGCAACTCCAGGAAGTTGTCCCCAACTTTTTCATCAATTGCTGCTAACCAAGCTGATCTGTCACATTAGATTAATTATAAGCAGAAAATAAAGTAGTTTGCAATGCCTGTATCGCCTACTGCAGAAGCAACAATAAATCGATGTTCTGTTGAAACCACCTCCTCAAGATGGTCCCTGCAGCAAGACCTCATTTTGGATTGAAAAAACACATTACTAGGGTTGAGTGAATACACTAACCCAATAGATCAGAATGATGTTTAAAACATTTATGGATGTTTAAAAGGGAGAAAGACAAATACTTAAGAAGCAATAGTATTAAAGAATATGGAGAAAAAGGCAGTGAAATAGGATCAAATGATCTGCCACGATCTAATAAAATGACAAAAAAAGTTCAATGAATTGAATGGCCTACTGCTGTTTCTACATTCCTAGAACTCTAAAGATAGATTTAGGTGAATCAAATGTTGATATGATTTTACTGCTGTAGAATGAATCTGCCTGACTGTATCCGCAATAAGGTAAATAAAATGTTGTAAAATAATTTAAATTATTGGAATACTCAGCAGTCTCATAGCCCTTCCAGACGCACTCCTAAGCAAAAGATCTTTTTTCTTCCACTTTCTCCCATCCTCCAAGGGTTCCTGGTTAAACATGTGTTTATAAGGCTGTAAGAAACAACGTGGCCTGGAACCTACAACGTTTAATGACTAGTGAGTGTAGTCTCCTATTAGACCATCCATCTGTCCATTAACCCATCCCTGGCTCTTATTGGACCATTCAGCCTGGATGTACTCACTGTAGACATTAAAAGTCGCGGTTTCCAGCATGTGATTTTCTTACAGCCTTAGTTATGCACAATATGTGTGAGGAAATTTCTTCTAACTTCCCTATTTGATCTATCTGTGACTATTTTATATTGATGACCCCCTGGTTTTGGTCTTCTCCACAAGTGGAAACGCTTTCCCTATGTCTACCCTATCAAAACCTTTCATCATTTTAAAGACCTCTATCAGGTCACCCCTTACCCTCCTCTTTTCAAGAGAAGAGTCCAAGTATGTTCAGCCTTTCCTGATAGTTCTGGGATCATTCTTGTGAATCTCCTTTGCACCCTCTCCAGTGCCTCCACATCCCTTCTATAACATAGGGACTAGAACTGCACACAGTATTCTCAGTGTGGTCTAACCACGGTTCTATAGCAGTTTACCATGACTTCCCTGCTTCTCATTTCTATTCCTCTAGAAATTAACCCCAATGTCTGGTTTGCTTTTTTTTAATATAATAAATGGTCTGATTAACCCGGGTTGCTAAGTTTAGTGAATTGTGTATGTGTACCCCTAGCGCCTTTTGCTCCTCTATCCCATTTAGGTTTTTATTTTCCAGGATGTATGTGACTTCCTTATTCCTTCTACCAAAATGTACCACCTCACACGTTTCTACATTGAAATGCATTTTCTATTTAAATGCCCACTCAGCAAGTTTATTACTGTCTTGCTGTAATTTGTTGCAGTCCTCCTCTGTATTAACTACTCCCCCCAATTTGTTGTCATCCACAAATTTTGAAATTGTACTGCTGATTCCCGAATCCAAATCATTAGTGTGATCTGTGGCCGCTGCCATTGTTTAATTTGCTGAGCCTCGGCAGGGAGTGCGGTCAGTCAACTGCAGAGGCCATAACAGTCAGACCTGTCCTCTTCCCACCCAGCTGCCACACATGCAACAACTAGGGAGCAGGCGGTTTCTTTCCCCCTTCAAGGATCAACTTAGCCTCCATTTGCAGCCTCAGTTGAGACCAGCAAACTTAGCACGGGATTTGAACCAACAAGCTTCTGCCTGTAAACTGCAGCTCTAACCACTAAACCATCAAGGCTGCTGATATTCATTTCATTTAATAAACATACTGTACATTTCACAAAATACAGCAAAACAGTTATACGTACAGATAAACAAAATTCACCTAGTAGTGGTCAAACCAATTATTTCAATACAGTCCAAACATTGAAACACGAGTATTACAAAAAGCACTTATATGAGTGCTTCAAACAATTGTAAAGGTACAGACTGAGATAAGCAACAACAAATTACACTTGTACAGTTTCCTTCACGTCAGAAAGACGTCCCACGGCGCTGGACAATCATGGGTTTTGGACCATACCGGGAGTTGGGGTCAGAAGGGGAGGAGGGCAGGGAGGGGTGGGAGTGTGGCCAAAGAAATGGTCAAAGAGGAAGGTCTTAAGACAGGACTTGATGGGAGGCAAGAGAGGGGGTGAGGCAGAGGAATTGCGGGATACAGTTCCAGAGTGTGGGGCAGAGATGCTGAATGTCTGACCGTTAATGGTGGCACAGGAAGTGCGGGGGACCTGAAGCAGGTCCGTTTCCCGCCGAGCAGAGAGACAGATATGGGGTTATGAGATCGGACAGGTAGGGGCATCAAGACCGTGGAGGCCTTGAAGGTAAGAATGAGGGTTTTGTACTCGATTATCTGAGGAATGGGGAGCCAGTGAAGCCGAGCAAGAACGGGGGTGATAGGTTCCTGAGTTCTGAATAATCTGTATCTTGTGGAGGGAGGAGGTGGGAAATCCAGTGAGCAGGCAGTTGACTTAGTTAAGTCAAGACATAATGAAAAAGCAAAAACTCCACTGGATAATGATAATAATAATAATAATCCATGCATCTGATTTTAGCGCCTTATCAAGTTGTTGTGCACAGTAATGTCCCGCAAACAGATGTGGAAAGAGTTACCAAATTATTATTAAGCAATCTGCCAATCAGCTATCAACCAGGTTCCTACTTTCTGCTGGGTAAACAGAGGCCCGTGGAGTAAGCAAACTTGCTTAAGATTTCGCCCTGCCCGCGAATTGAACCCAAGTCCTCTCGCTTGCGAGCTGGTGCTTTATCTAACCAATACGTTACAGATAAATGCAATGTCATGACCAGAATCCTGCCTCTTCCTCCACCGCTCCCCATTCCTTCAACACATTGTAAAAAAGTAACCATTTTCAACAATATATACCATCAACCCCAATTTGCAGGCTATTGTGACATTGAATAGAACTAGTTACTTACAGGATAAAATATTCTTAAGCACCCCCAATCTACATGTGAAGGTGAAATAATAGCTCTGCTAACCTAACAGAAGGGAGTAGTAACAAAAATAATAGATGTAAACAGAATATTGCATGCAGAAATTTCACAACATTGCACTTGGAAAGCAAAATTCATTTTATGAGTAACTCAGTCAGCTCCAGTGGTGGAATAAAAATATATGGTGACTGATATGCTGATGAGCCAGGCTGGGTGTGCTATAATCAGCAGTGTCCTGGAATACTGCAGACCCACCTGGCTCAGAAACTGGACGACCGATACTGCCACGCAGGGCTGGCTCGAATCCAACAATCCGTTGTCAAGCATGTCATCTTGAAACCAGTTCAGCTCCAAAGAGACCTCGCTTAAATATTAAACAATCTGAAATTTGTTTAGTGACAAAGGTACATGTATTATAAAATATTTAATATAATCAATTTGGCACCAAGTTACAGACTTCTAAAACTTTAAGATTAGAGCCCAACGTGTTATATACTTCCAATTAATAATAATAATAATCCTTGCATTTGATATAGCGCTTTTCACGTCGGGAGGACGTCCCAAAGCGCTTCACAGAACACACTGTAAAGTGAATTGACTGTATATTTGTGGGCGAACGTGGCAGCCAATTGCGCACAGTAATGTCCCACAAACAGTCGTAGATTGAAAATGACCAATTTATTATTGTTTTTGGAGGATTATTAGGCTCTGTGTGGAGTAAGGAAACTTGCCCAAGGTTTCGCCCTCTGCCTGGAATTGAACTCAGGTCTCTCGCTTGCAAAGCGAGTGCTCTAACCACTGAGCTACAGGACTCCACAAATTCAATTAAGAACTTTGTAAATATTTTGCACGTTGTTGAAGCTTATTATTTTATAATAAACCTTCCTTTCACAGTCGTATCTATTTTGCCTGATGGATTTCTATTCCTTTGGGTATATAGATAGGAGTGTCAGGCCTGACACTGTCAAAATGCATCTAATTGCTGATCGTCAAAAATATGACTGTTATTGTGCTGTCCAGCCAAAATGTGGGAAAGCTTCCAAAATTGTACTCTGTGCAGACAATCCAGACTGCTGCCAACAATAGGATACAAAGACCACAGGGT